ATGTATATATATAATATATATATATTTACACACACAAAAAATGCTACACAAGCCATTTTTTAATTTTAAAGTGACCCTAAATTTGAGAGTTAAATCTTAAAAATGCATTCAAGTAGCTTAAAGGAGAACTATGGGGTCAGGGCTTCGCCCCGTAGTTCTCCTTAGGGTAATGGGAGGACACAAACTAGCGTCCTCCCGTCACCCTAAGCTCCTCCCCCGTCTGTTCCGCCAGTCAGCGCTGGTGGGGGGAATCCATCCCCTCCCCTGTCGCTGCAGAGAGCCGTGACGGGATCGAGAAGTGAGCGAACACCGGCATGTGTTCGCTCACCTCCCGATCTACTGAGCCGACCTGTGACAGTCTCATTGTCACAGGTGGGTTAAAACTATGAGGTGAGTGAAAAGCACTCACCTCATAGTACTCCTTTTTAACCATTAAGAAAAATACATCTTATTTGTGTATCACTCGGCTGTAGATCCTCAAATCATCTCTGAATTGGTGCTGACACTGTCCTTCCTTCTGGAGGGTGGCTACTTTTGTTCCCCATGGTCCCTGTGTGTGTTGTAGAGTAGCCACCACTCCAAGCTCACTTCCGTGATGGACTACAATCTCTGTACAAATTGTTAAACTATCTTGGAGCTTACTGTACATGGCTGGTGTAAGTGTTGTTTTATTCTATTTCTGCTGGTGTGATTTTTGGCCCGCAGGTTTTCCCAGATGTCTGAACTAAAATACAAGTAACATTTTAGGCAATGTCTGTTTGGGTTAGATACTCCCCGAAGGTCAACCACTTTTTCTTTATTAGAACAGTGAGATTTCAACAGGTGGCTGTAATGAAGCAGAACCTCCTATTCAGGAATCCGTCTGAAAAGAAGATTGTGAAAAAACAGCTTTTTCTATAGAACAGGAAAGGAATGCATCTGCAACAAACTTTTTTTTTTTTTTTACTTGCAATGTACATAGATCACTTTGAGGATTGTTTGTTTTTTGTGGGGTTTATTTCCCTCAAAGGTGGAGTTACACTTGAAATGTGATGGGCAGCCTCAATAAGCAATGTTCTTTTAATCCAGAAAAGTAGTAGAATTACAGCTGCCTTTAAATCTGGGTGGGTTGGGTTTGCAGAGGGGAGTCACAAGTATCTACAAAGCACTGGTAACATTGGTGGTACATGTGCTCTCTTTAACATAATTGTTTTACATTTTGTTTTTTTTCAGCGTTATGTGGATGGTGGCATTAGCAACAACTTACCTGAATATGAACTGAAGAACACCATCACAATCTCTCCTTTCTCAGGGGAATCTGATATCTGCCCCAAAGATAACTCCACCAACTTCCATGAGCTGAGAGTCACCAACACCAGCATCCAGTTCAGCCTGGGGAACCTCTACAGGTTAACGCGGGCACTTTTCCCACCAGAGCCCAAAGTAAGTCGCATCTCTTCTGTCCTATTTTTGTTTAAAGATAATTTTTGATTTTTGCCTATTTATGGTTGGCCAACCACATACCCATTGCTACTCTCCGTCCCCACACTCCGCCATCTGTCAAAGAGCTTGGAAATATTCGGGATATGGAGGAGAATGCTGAATGCAGTGCTCATTCCCGAGTGACCAATCGCCAGACCTGAACACCCTCAAATGGGGGAAGGAAGCAGTTTATTAACCCTGTGTAAGCTCTGACATTGACGGTGCAGGGTTAGACTGCAAACTCCCACAAAGAATGGAGCAGCAGCAGAGTGTGGAGAATGTTCCATATCAGTGGTTGGGGTGAGGGGGTAGTTGGCCTACCAAGAGTCTATCACGTTACCCTAAATGGGGCCTATGTTGAAGTTTTTGGGTTGATATGTTAGGTTATTTGACTAATGTAAACCCCCTCTATTTATTTTTTATGAGATGTGGTACACTTTAATTTGGAGTATACAACATGTTGAAATCTCCTGTGAATATTCCCTTCACTGCATGTGCCAAAGCCAACTTCTCGAATATGTGAAGTCAGTCGAAGTTATGGTAGATTTGGCTCCGCTCTTCAAGATTTGCCTGTCTATGGTTGCCCTTTAAAAAAAACATTGCACCCATATTTCTTGCAGAAAATAGATCTTTTTGCTTGACCTAGCTGTTCATTAGAAACTTGATGGTGCTTTTTATTGGCCACAATGGCTGTTTTCTTTTTGGTTCCTTTAGTGAAACCTACAGCTGCTCCCCTGTCTTGGTGTCGTATACAATTTATGATGCTTGAACTTGCAAAGCTAGCCCACATCATAGCCTTATCTGTGTACTGAACTTGGGCCATATAGACACTGGGCCTCATTTCTTAAACACGGGGGTGAAGATGTTACAAGCAGCAACCAATCAGCTCTATGCTTCTAATTTAAATATTTTTTTGGTAGACTGTTAAAAGGAATGACAGCACAATCTGGCTGCCTTGGGCAAAATCTTCACTTGCTCAGCTTGCCATGTTTTAGTATGTCTGATGGCCACTACTGAGGGTATTGGCCATCAGACATGTCTGTCTGATGGTGGTACATTTCCCTTGCAGGCATATTGTTTGTCCATCACATTTCATGGTCCTGATGTTTCCACAGGTTCTGGGAGAGATGTGTCAGCAGGGATACAATGATGCACTTCGCTTCCTAAAGGACAACAGTATGTTTTATTTTTTGTTAAATCTGCCAATGTACATTCTGCTTTCTCTTACACATATTTTTCACTTTTACAATATCTCAACTTTTGGTTATGACTTGGTCACTTCACTTATGTAGGAGGCTACTGGTAAAGACTGCACCTGTTCTACTTTTAGTGTGCACTCTTGTTGGGAGGAGCATAAAGCCAACTGCAGCACTACAAAGTAGAAAGTGGTGTTTGCAGATGTAATTTATTTAATAAGCAAATATAGTGCTCTCTATATAACAAACTGTATGATAACATGTACTCAAACAT